AAAAAAACATGTTAAAATATAAACTGGATACCAATGTAATCAGTGTCATCTGGAGACTTTATTCATGTGCAACAGACGTTTCGTCTTGACTTGACCAGCGACCCGGTAGTATGTGTATCGTTACACTATAGACGATAAGATTGGTTATCATGTCATTTTAGTTTGAGTTAGAATTGTCAAAAGACATGATAGTTCTTCTGGTTGTAATTTACAAAATTAAACAACGTCCGTGTAACTGTGGACGAGCGTGACAGTGCAAGTGTAGTGTAGAATGACACTAAGACTGGATTACGTTATATACAATATTTAATTTACAAACAATACACTATATTTTGTTAATTCTTAATAATATAAATCATTGCTACCTCACTCTCACACGAAGTATGTATAGACAGCAACATTAGAATAATACAAAGCAAGTATATAACTAATGCTAAAATCACACACGTAAACTATACGCCAATACTGGAAAAGTCAATGTATCAATCACGATATGAAAATAACTGCCATGATACAGTGATCACAAAAAAGCTCGTCCATCGTCTGTGGTCCCCGGTCCCGTCTCTCTTCATGACGGCCTTGACCATAACTCCTGTGTTGATGGACTCACCAAACTTCACATGAAGTGTAATTTAAAACAGCACAGACCAAATGACATACGTTGTAACGTATCATCACAGAACATGGTCCATCCGTAGAACGTAATCACTACCTCGGTGACTATACAGCACACATCACTCGGTTCACACATAACCTAAACATGTAGTTCACACAAAACGGTTACCATAAAAGATAGCTACCAACTAAGGTAGTGGTTGTTGCAGCCCTCACATGACCCATGGTTGGAGCCACAATATATGCACGACAGACTTACTACTTATAGCTATACTGAGTGCCATTAAAAGGTAACATATATGTAAAGTATTCTCACTACCCATATGTATATACAATGACAATAACTGTAAGACATATCAATACGCTATTTTTTACCAATTAACTAAGTAGAGCCTGTTTTGACAAAATGTATAAGCACGGCACACATAGCCCTAATATTTAGGGTAATTTACGTGCGCAGTCCACTCAGCCGTGAGGTATACACCTGAACGCTGTGCCTTTTATCTATATGACCAATTCGATTAGAAAATGGGCAATTTATGGAATTGTTTATAGGTAATATTAGGCTAACAATATTTGTTGACAATATGTTATCTTAAAAAGCTAAAACAGTACAACCGCATCATGCGCGCGAATGTAAACATTGTGCACCCGATATACAGGTATGGTCATATATACAAACAACAAAATGACTAGAAATATAACAGATGAACAACAATTATGTGTATGTCGTTAACTAATAATATTTAATCACATAATTGTCCTGTTGTCCAGTGAACTCGCCCGTGTAATATTTTTACATATGTCACTAGTGTAATATACCCTGGATCATTTTGCATTGGCTGTGCCAGTCAGAAATCGATTGTGACGTCATAATATGGACAATGACGTGACGTCATCAATTGTGAATGGCGCAACAAAATGGCTGTCTCCGTTTGATTAAGCCCTCTACATTTTGGCTTTAAACCTGTCAAAATGTAAGTTTTCTGAGTTATGTGATAAAAAGTATCTTAAACTCGTCTCGAAGTTTTAATTTTTGCTCGCCAAGTCTCCTTAAAACTCCTAAGACTCGTTTCATAAAATCTCATATGAAATGAAAAAACTCATTTAATATCCTATATATAACACATATAAAAACTCACCACATTCTGTAGTTTGTGCTTGCTTACAAATTCTCAATAGCGATTGAATAAAGCTAATTGTGGCTATGCATGGCTACCTGTCGATCCCTAAATAAAAACCGTAGACGGATTACCAAATTCCGTCCCAGTAAAATAATAATCGAATGATTCACTTTTATCAGTAAAATTGGGTAAAAGATTAACAAAACATTATTAGTGATCGTGACAGTGCGTTATATGCACTGGTTGATCTATCACGACAAACGGTATTAATTTTCCTTTTCATACATAAAACATGAAAACATCAGGGCTCGTATTCATGAAACCGTTCTTATGCTCAAGCATGGATTCTGTGCTCAAACAAACTTTTTTTACTTGCTTAGATCATGTCAAACGCTAAAAAGATGAAATGTAAACGTGTCTGCAGTTTTTGTCCAAATCATTGACAAAAAAAGACGTATTTATTAAGTTATAACAAGAACAAGAAATTAAGCCTGTGCGCAAAAAAACATGCTTCAGCATGAGAAGGGTTTCATGAATACAGGCCCAGGTAAAACGCCAGTAAAAATTGTGACGTAACATTTAATGTGCAGTCACATTTTTGATAAATGTGGTGATCTGTGCACTAATATATAATCGGAATGTGTAGCTTCGTTTTCGGATTTGACAGTATTTATTTCTAGACTGATAGGTATATAATTTGAGTCGCCATTTATAATCTGTTGACCTTTTGTTCCCTCATTTGTTAAACAACCGTCTAGGCAGTCTCATAAACATGTGAGGGTTCTCTCTCCAACGCGTTCAGTTGTTCATAATTTGTATCGGTTCTGTTCGTCTCGGTAGGTTGTGTCTTGGTATGGGATCCTATTTCGTCGTATGTGCCTTCTGAAATACAAGTAATACACATTTTTTCAATAAACCGTTTTTGATATGGGGATTTAATTTGGATTTCACAACCTCGTTTTTGGGTTCTCTGAACTAATTCACGTGACTGTTTTTCCATGACCATCTAAACCGACTTGATTTACCTTGTTGAGAAAAACCTCGAAAAAACACTGGTAAACTGTTCGAATAGGCTATAGCCATGACGACTCTACCTAGAGAGAGTTTTAAACAGTGTACATGTAACCGGTGTACACTGTTTAAAATTCGATGGACGAAGTTTCAGGAGCACGGAATCAAAGGTCAGTATTGACACCCAATTTGACAAGGGGATGTTTATCTGTAATGTTCATATGATTGTAGCATATTATGTGCCAGAATTCCGCCCCTCCCCATTCCTCTTGGTTTGGTTGTTGGTAGGCGGGACCTGTTGCTGTGAGTGGCACACGGAGGCCTAGTGATTGCATGTCGACGTTACCCATAATAATGAAAAATCCTGAATATATATGTAAGTAAATTAACCTCCTCCGATTCATATTTTTAATGTTAGAAACAACCAGATTGATTCCCGATATCGTCACTATTTTGATTGCTGTGCGCAGATCATATCAGACATCGAAATACTTTGTTAGTTTCAGCTTTGTCAGATTGATAACGCCCATACCGTTTCGTCATATGTATTTTCAAATGCTGTTAAAATATTGAAAATAAAGAGTAAGAAAAAATAATAAACAGTAGATCAAACAACTTTGTTCAAGGTGAGTTTGTTTATATAACAGGATACAACTCGACCGACAATAGCATTGGAAATTGGGAATTTGGAAAATCTTAAAAGTAGTCCCATGAAAAACAACTGACCTGTTCATAATGCTATGGACAATTTTTATGGGTCGTATGTGCAACTACTTACCAACTACAGAACATGTAAAATCAGCACAAAATAAAATTTGAAATTCTATTGATGTCCAAGTGCAATTTTAAGCGATCATATGTTGATGATATTAGCCTAAAGTTTCCCTATTTCGTTCCAAGGTTTTGGTTAGTGTTAAGTTATGATCGGTTAATCGGGTGCAAGATGGTCGACCAATATTTTGCTGTCTCGTATTGGGAAACATGTACATATGTTGCTCATCATCGAACTGTACTTATTAGCAAAGAAAACACATTGACACGAAAACATCCATGTCGATTTCGATAAGAGTGAGAAAATAACACCATTTCTACAAGCTATATACATGTAATCTACTGGTTTATTAGTATTTTATAATTTTAATTACCCACAAGATTATTTTTTCTCTCCGAAGACTGTTATGAGATCAACGAGAAAATTGTGCAAATTAGAGGCTATTGAGGAATTCACAAATTTATTTTGTCGCATCTGAAAAGTAGCACTGCAAGAAGTTAAACCTTTATACATTAACACAAAATTGCAATTAAATAAAAACAGACAGAAAACATAGAACAAAATTCCTGACATTTTTTCGTCAATGTTTAAATTGATGTAAATGTACCCTAGTTATTTAGTCAGTAGTTCGTCCTAGAGATTTTACAAAATTAGCCCGTATTACCTGTGTTTTTCTGTAAATCTTCTCGCCTCACAGACTGAGACAAATCTTTCATATGAGTTAAATTCATATTGTCGCGTTTGTATCTTGAGAGACGTCTGACCAATATGATGACCAATACGACCAGAGTCAGAATGACCAATCCTGATGTGATCCCTATTCCGGCTGCAGCTATATTAAAACTGCCTGGTTGTGTAGGTTGTACAGGGGCTTTGATAATAATAAAAAAATACGCAACTAAACCCAAATAAAAACATGCAGCACTAATGATGACTCTCAAAATAAAGTGCTGACTTGTCAATACATCCTATTGCTATAATTGTAATCAAACTAGTTTGAAATTTATTTGCGTTATATATTGTCCTAATACTTACACATGGGGAAAAGCCCACGACGTCACACTAACATGTCTTTAAACAAGATTTATTATATCAAATTTACATTTGTATTCACAATATCACACAGCTAATAAATCTGTTTTATTGTCGGCGATTCGAAATTGTTTTGCATTGTTGTCGTGTTTTAGATAATCTGCGAATGTATTTTAGATTGTTGGCGTGTTGTAGATTGTTTTCGTATTTTGAATTACCGGCTTATTTTCAGATTTCTCTATGATTAGGCAGAAGTGGGCAGACCGCGTCATTTTGTATTTGCAACTTAACCAATTCATAAACATCATATGATTAAAAGGCATTTTTTTCTGATATACATGACAAAACCTCGTGAAACAATACAGTTTGTAACTACCGACAGCTCTAGGTTATATGAACGCATTGTCGGTGAGTTGTTATATATTAACTCAAATCGTTCATCAGTATCACGTGGTTTTACGTATTCTTATAATTTAACTGAATTGTACCTTTGTGGTTTACCTACTTACCCGTACAGTACCCTGTAATCATGTCACATACATCTGTCGTACAGGAGGACGGACATCTCCTATCACAGTGGTCGGTGAAATATCCATCTTTACATCCTTTAATTATAATATACATTTAAATTGTTTGAATCCTTGAGGAAGGTATAGCAATGAAATCATAACATCTGGTTAATCATTTTGGATGGCAGAACTAAAGGTTTACTGCATGAAAGAAATTCAAGAATCTTAACCCGGAAGTTGACATTTGCAAAATCTATTTCCATAACCTGATGGAACTACATGGAATGATTTTATTGTTTTGCATCCCAAGTTAGATTGTTACAGCAAACCAAAAAAGAATGGTTTCTATGTAATCCGGTTATGTAGAAGTCGTCACAGTATAATGTTTTTGTTTTTTGTTTTGATAGGATATCACAACCGATACCCGCTTTCCTGAACACTTAGGCTTGGAAGAGAAAATAGTCATGGCAAACATTTGAGATATACAGTGCATTGTCAGACAGACCGCGATTACCTTCGTTGATATAAACGGTGTTAAATACTCCTTACAAATCAACGATACCCGGTATATAACAGCTGTTATTTAGGGTACACTAAATTTGACATTTTCTACACGATTTGTGAGTACATTTATGACCAAATTGACTGGATTACTATGAACAATTCACTAATTTGTCACGACAGTTACCCCTGGGTCAATATACCCAAAACAGGTTTATTTTAACGAGTGGTGTTTATTGTCATACTAATGTGACACCAGCTGTAAACTAACTATTTATTGAATTCGCATGTTTTGATATCATATATGATGTTTGTAATGAGTATGAATACGCCCACGTACATACACGTTATAGTACGGAGGCTAGTGACTATTTTTTGTGTAAAATAGTTAAACATATGAATTAAAAGATTTGCTGTATAATTATAGTTGTGTTTTAATGTTTGACACGGAATGATACTGTTCATACACAGTTATTTGGGTATCAAAGTGTGTGTGTGATCAAGCTCCAATGCTGTTATTGCAGCGCTAGTATTCAGAACACATTTTAACCCATTTCTAAATTTGCTGTTATGCGGTCATTTTTTTCATATGTAGAAAAAGGTAAAGTCTGCCGATTTACATAATGCCATTCGTGCCAATAAGTTTAATATTTGCTCTATACAAAATAATATATTATTAAATTTACGCAAACAGTCCAGTTTTCTGAAACATCAAAACCTATACAAACCTTGCTTCCCAACTGAAAGTTTTGGCTTAGTATTGCCTTTCTTTTGATGTTACAGTCAACGTTTCTATAAATATATCTTTACATTTTCTGTTCAACAGTTACACAATGTATAAGCAATGTATTCGTTCTGCTTAAAAACTGAGTCAGGACATTGGTATTCCTCAGTGATACTTCTTTTGAAACTTTGATATATTTGAGAATATACCTTCATTTTGACGGCGTACACGGTAGTATGTTTAAATGCTTCATTACGCAGAAAAAAATTCGAAGTGGGTTGCCACGTGGTAAATATACGGTAGCCGAACGCGTGGTTGCTAGGACAATGTAGTTCCAGTGAATCTACATCGATATATGAATAATATTAGAAAATACGCAGTGAACAACACTATTATTTTCCTTTCATGGTTTTTCAATTTGAAATTAAGCAATGTGAGAAGTCCTTCGAACGTTTCTCTTCATTTACAACGGTCGTCATGTACGCGCATTGACACACTGCTCATGGAGTGACGCGGTCAGAACGATGCCGCCATTGTTGACGTTACCGCCAAAACATTTTGTTGAATGTGCATCCATGGAGTCAGAAATCTGTCAGCATTCTTTGGTTGTATAATTAGACAGAACGGATCCCGAATATGTTCTATGTATCATTATGGTAAATGATCCGAGCATTAGTTGCAATTGGACTGTTATCTCGCTAAAGCGTGAACGGCGCCAAATTTGAAACAAGTATCGATCCGCCGAGCCTTTTTTCTCTGCGTATACGCTAATTTATACGCAATCAGAGTTTACTAGGCTAAAGAAGGGAGACATGTAAAGATAACGTAAATATTGACCTCCTTATTACCTGTGCATAGTCCATCGATTTGTTGACAAATGTTGTCTTTGCATTTACCCAGGCAATCGAATGTACAAAACGGGCCGTACTTTCCAGGAGTGCATTCTGAAACAAATGTTGTCATTTTAATTTGTCATTCATATAAAATATGCGTATTGTTGCAATATTTCGATTCAATTTACACGTCTTTGTTATAAACAGTTTTGTGATAAAGATTAAGGAATAACATTTTATTACTTTTCATTAGACACTGTCATTAGGGTTAAGTACACTTGATCCATTGCAAGTGACGACAACTTTGAGCTATACAGATGATTAGTTTTCCCTATTGGATGTATCTTTGCAATTGATTTGACAGATATAAACTAACTGTGCAACGCAATTCCAAGGAAAACTGTTGAAAGAAATTGGAGTACAGTGTAATTTATAGCAACATGCACATAAGCCATGCTTGAGGTAGTAAAGTACAGTAGAAATGGCATGATCCTAAAAATAAAGGGCATGTCTCAGATAAACATGGATAGTGGATCAATCCTGCACAACAGATCTACATGTATATATAAAATTATAAAAAAACAAAAGACAAGAGTTTCATCGGCTTCCCTAGCTCTTTCTCCTCTTTAAATGTTTATCAGGGGAACTGTTTATTCATGTTGACAGGAAAACAACACAACAAAATGTGATGATATCATGATACATTATGACGTAACAATACAAGTTTGTGACAAGTGTTTCCCCAGATTTGGGACTTGTGAAAACCATGGTTACCATATCAAAAAACATAAAAAATGCATAGGTGAGTAGTAAGTGCGAGAGACTTTTAGTTCTATGAGCTATTTATAGCCAGTAGGCTATTGCCGTGGATCTAAAATTTTGTCAAAGTTGTCGCATTTGTAGTCGAACTATGCATTTGTGTTTCTTAATTGTGATGCACGCTTGTAAAATGGATACAATAGTTGTTTAATTTTCTTAAAAAGTTACTTTTTTGATTAATACTCTGGCAATTAACTAAAATGTAAATTGTAAGGTCTATATTCAGTAACGAGAGTTACAAAAGCATGTGCTACAAGATATGTCGTCTACTAGAGGGAACTGGGGGTAGGGGTGTAAAGTCCCGGCGTGAAAACATATAAACCTGATATACTTGTAATATTAAGATCTTTGGGATATAATCATTGATTATTTTAAATTTTGAATGATTTATATTGTTTGATGGACTATGCATTGCAGTAGATGTGGGGTGTCAGAGTAAGGCTAGATGACTTTATTTGATATGAATGGCATTGCGTGAATGCTAATATGTAATCAGTCGCATCTGCACCACGGGAAAAAATGCAAAGGGCCCTAAGTGACACATGGCTGCTTGTGTCGTTTACATGTTTTTATTTACTATGGTGAAAGTGAAAACCATTTATCGTGATTAAAATAACATGCAGGGCCACCAACAGACATTTTCTAGCTGATCTTGTAAAGGAAAAAATGCATACGCTATATAGCGAGAGTGAATCCTATATTATCAATGTTTCCGATACCGATCAACCTCCAACCCAGACATTTTAACAGTGTTAACTTCAAATCCATATCTTCAAACCTCCAAAATTTTTAACAACTAAAATCTATTAGCGATCAAGTAACCTCTTAAACAATCTCTTAAAACCGTACTGCCGGTGTACAAGAAAGCTATAATTATGATGGTAAGCCCGGCAATATCATGAAAACATCGGAGAAAGAAAATGTCATTCAATATATGAAAGGAAATGCTAGCACCTGGATGAGAGTACCAATTATATAACAGAAATAACATACAGTCTTATGTTTACGGGACCTGCCAAGACCAAATTGGAACACGACAACTGAATGTAACCAAAGAACTACGCGGCCATTGGCCACTTGTTGCTAGGTTTGATAAAATGAGAAATGTGTTCATCAATAAAATATAAAGCGGTAAGATGTGACTAAATCATCATTATGACTATATATATATTAATGATAGAAAATTGCAAACGTATAAAATGAAAGGAACTATAAAAAGATCCTATGTCTAGGAAAAAAAGGGAAATGACTAATTGTAGGGTTGAAACGTATTGCAAGGTTCTTGATGGTAAACAATTTCTTTCAACCAAACGTTTGGTCAAGATTTGGTTGTCGTGGTTGAACATTAGTTGTATGTTTAATCTAATCGTAGCGTTCACAGTATCACAATTAAAGTGCACGATATCTACCTACCGATGACTGCTCTATATACATGTGTTGTTCTTACAATTTAAAGGTATATTATTCCAGTTAAGAATTACTCTGATGCATGTACATTTCTTTTCAGGAACTCCTTTAATTGCATATGATTCGATTGCGGTTATTGGCAAATGCCGGGAATACCATTAATATGCCACACCACTGTATCTTTAGCATGAATACCACACTATTTACCTAGACAATATCCATTGTTATTCATGCATGATTTGTCTTTACAGTTGTCAGAACAATCTCGAGCACACATGTCCCCGAATTTTCCATTAACACAGTCTGGAATACAAGCATATACTACCTTATAAATAACATCTAAAATTATGATCGTTTTATGTCAGGTGGAAAAACAAAATATCAACATATATCTTGAGGTGAATGCCTCGTTAACCGTGAAAGTAAATGATACACATGTCATCATGTGTCCGTTGAAAACATTCTAAAATAATAACATTAAGATTTAAGGTATTTGTGTTAAGGAAAACTGTGATGTCCTAAATGTTGAAAGAATCAAGGAATTCCACGAGAAAGAAGTAGCCTGTGATTTGGATTAGCGCATCATCAGGAATTAACTATTGTAAGAGTTACTTCCCCTTATGTGCAGTAATTTACATTTATTGTAGCACTAAACCATCAACAAACAAATTAACAGTGATAACAATGTGAATCTATCATTACCAAAACATTGTTCGGATGTCTGGTTACATGTCACACAGTTAGAAGAACAGTTGGCAGTGCACAGTTCGCCTGTTTTACCAGGAATGCAGTCTGAAAATAAACATAATGTATGTCACCATGTATTTCTATTCCCTAAGTCCACAAAGTAGATGAAGTGCACTGCTTATAAAATGTATGCTGCAAGGTTTATATCCTTAGTCAAATAACGCAGACACTGAAGTATATTAAAACATCAATGTGTGTTTAATGTGATTAAATCTGATATTTCCTCACATTCAGTACATCATAGAAATAAATGACATACGTGTTATGACCGTTAAAATGACATACGAAGATTTTTTTTT